TTAACATTCCGGCCCTAGGCCAAACTTGTCAAAAATGCAAAAATTTCCATTGATTGATGAACGCTTACTAGTTGCTAGCGGAATCTACTCTCACCGTTATGCTTTGGGGCTCACTCTAGAAACCATTGAGCAGCTGCACATCTGCTTATAGTGAAAGCAGATATAAATCGCCGTCAAAGGCAAATGAAACCGTAATAACCATTTCTGGTCCCAAAGCCGTCGTCAGGCAGTCATACGCAACTCCAGGTGATGGACCAATTGAAGCTCAAAATTGCGGCCTGTTAATCATAGGTTCTTGCAATGGCGATTTTATTTTATATTTTATCGCCAAAATGTACTATCTTGACGTTTCGCATTCTTGCCTAAAACAGTCGTCGATAGAACAATTGCAGTTGTTTAGAGTAATTGGGGAAATTCGTGTTCAGCTTCGAGTTCCGCACTCCTGCCTGAAACATTTGTCAATAACAGTTGAATTGGTATACAATAATTGGGGACATAAGAGTGCATTGATGTTTATCGTATTAGATTCACTGGTGCTCTGTTGGTCAATGGCCTCGATTGCATCATAATTCTTGCTTTTTGTTGTAATCATTATTTGAACTATTTGGCTAAATGTTTTGAGACCTGTGGATCATTAGCGCTTCACACGCACATCTTCAAAAGTGGTTTTGAAAAACTTGAAACTATGGTCAAGCACTATTTCAGTAGCACTACCTAAAACATTTCCGCATTATTTTCCAAAGTAAGACACGGCCTTAAAACAGTTAATCAATTCATTACTTCCAAAGGACATTGGGGAGTTCACGGGAGTAGCCGCCCCAGTTGCCCATACAAAACAAAAACATGAAGAGGCCTGTTTCCATGCATGACGTGTTTTAGAAATGCCAAACTCGTAGAAGTCATGGTGATTGTGCGAATCGGACGGTTATTGTCGCCGAAGGTCGGCTTAGGAGCAGGGTCTTCTACGCTCGTTTATGCATCAACCTCAGCTCAAGCTTACTTTTATCCTTAAAACATGCAAGTACAACACGTCTTCGAAACATAACGTTCTGTAAGCTTTCGGCAACCATAAAATCCATTTATTTGAGGTATGGACATTGGTCGGTATGCCGTATTGTAGACTGTGTGTATTGCTCTCGATTGAGAAGTGTTTTTTTTTCCGAAGTAAATTAGAGCCCACAGTGGTGAGGAATTGAAGTGTGACACTCAGCCTACTAAGCCGATGCACACGATCTCCTTAGCTATTTGACAGTCTTGGACCGCTGACTATGACGTTTGAAAAGGGAAGTGAGTCTAGTGTTAATGGTTGATTAAAAGCGAGGGAAACATAGCACACGCCGTGCTTGGGATTATTACAAAAATCCTGAAACTCACACCTGGTGTCATACTTCCACAGTCATCTATCAACAACTTTTTAGATACATTTTCATATGTGGTCTATTGAAAATATTAACACGGCATATGCTCGAATTAAAATCATAGGTAAGTCGAGCTGCATGAAACTCCCAACTATTTAATGACTCCAAAGAGCGCATTTTTCCATAAAAATCTTGTGACTTAACAGGTTGTTTATCTGACATTCTTTCACGCAGTCCCAAATGCAAGCGCTTTCTTTGGCGAACAAATAAACATCATGTTCGCCAGCCATTACTGTAACATAAGAGGAAGTGCAACGGTAATGTCATCCAGCGGGAACACCAATTCGAATTATGGCGTTATTCGAAAAACGAAAATTTGTAGAAACTGGTGATTTGTCCCGGCTCCGTCCCGATAGAGTCTTATTTCCAAAAAAAAGGTTTGCCTACCTGCATTTATGGATTTAGTGCGATGTAAACGAACGCGTGGACCAATGAGACC